ACTGGAAGCCTTTCTTAACCACACTTAATTCCAATGTCTTCCTTCTGTTAATTATTTCCTCTTTATCCTATATACATAACTTGCTTTGTATTATTTGTTTACATATTGTCTCCCCCATGAAAGTTCTTTTAAGAGCAGGAACTGACAAACCAGAGACAGGAAGACCAGGCTAGAGAGCATTAAAATAATGAAGTCAGGTGAGAATGAGAGCCTCTGACCCTCACTAGCCCCTTAGCCTGAAGAGATTCAAAGCGGAGGAGCAGGACCTCTTATACATAAATCTGTGCAAGCATATTTATAGCAGCCATTTTTGTGGCGGCAAAGACCTGGAAACTAAGGGGTTGTCCAGCAAGGGTGGAAAGACTGATTAAATTGTGGTGTGTACGTGCTGTAGAAATGATGCAGGAGAGGGTTTCAGAGAAAACTCAGATTTGTACAAACTGATACAGAGTAGCATAAGCGGTACTGGGAGAAGTGTGTCTACGAGACTCTGTAAGGATGAGGAAGCCTGCTGCCCCTTCCTGGCTGAGCTGTGAAATAGAAGAGGATCATTGAAGCCTTTTTAAAATGTCCAGAAGAGAATGGAAGGAAATAATGAAAAAACACAGAGGAGCAGCCAGCTCAGGAAGGCACGCACTGAATTTATTATAAATGTGTGTGCAGTTTGTATAGCAAATTTATATTTTATACTTAAAAGGAAAAGCCAAATGTATGTCCTATAAATGCCTGGTTCCTTAAATAATCCTTTTTTTCTCTTCTACTTTGTATATGGAGATGCCCATTTGTTTAGAATCTGTTAAGTTTAGAATAAAAAAAAACTTGAAGGATGGGAGCTTCTGTCTGGTTGGGAATAGTGGGAGCAGGGAGGAAAGGGCAGATGGGAGAGATGTGAAGAGGCAGTATTGATGGGATCCATGATGGTGAAGGAAGAATCCAAGATAACCCCATGATTATAGGGACCTGACTGAGAGGGGAAAACACTCGCCCGGGGTCTCCTGGCTAGTAGGAGGTAGAACTCAGGTCCCAGCCCAGGCCTTCTCATTCCAAGCGAGGCCATGATACCTTTGGGCTAAATGTTTGGCTTGTCCTTCTGGCCCTGGTCTGCTTTGGACTAGCTGCCTTTGAACACCCTTCTGACTTTGGGATCCTGGGATAAAACACATTCCTCTACCCACACTAGCGAAAACATTACAGTAAGGCTCAAAGGGTCAAGTCATCTGTAGACATGAAGTCCTTTGACCTTCCCCATAACCCAGAAAGGGCAGGATCACCACCATTTTACATGTAACACTCTTTAAACCTAGGAACAATATTATAGTGGCATCTCCATCTGACACCAGCCCTGTGTCTGCAGACGAATCACTTCTCTGAATCTCAGTTTTATCCCTTTCTTTATCTAAAGGGGTAGAAAAGGAAGAGGGAAAGAGAAACTCAAGACCACTAGGACAAAATCCCATCCCAACACAGTGCTCTGGCTGTGCCAGAGAGTCTGTTCTAATAGGTTTTGATGACAGAAAGATGGCACCTCACTGCCCCTCCCGCTCCCCCCCCCACCATGTCTGGCTTCCAAGCCCATCATTCTCGGCTCCAAGAAGTCTTTTGGCTGGTGGACCCATTGGCCTTTAAAAATAAACCCTTTCCATGTTCACAGCAGAACACGAGAGGATTCAATATAAAACAAAAAATAGACTTCCATTTCAAGAAAACCTATGTAGTAAATACTGCATATTGCTTTCAAAGCTACCCAGCTTTTCTGTGCTTCCTTTTGTCTTTTATTTTTTGTTCTCTGCTGTGCACTTTTTATTTTATTTTTTTCCTTTCCCTCCCCACCCCTACCCAAGCCGTAGAGAAGGCTACAATTACACATAAATATATATATCTACAAATATACATATACACACATATATACATAGCCACACATACACATACATGTAAGACCATGCTATGCATATTTCCCCTTGTCATCTCTTTCTCTGGAGGTGGATAGCACCTTCCTTCATAGGTTCAAATCTTTATGTTTTTCTGAATGATCCAGCTCATCATTTCTTATATCACAGTAGTGTTCTATCACAATGATACCAAACTTGTTTAGCTATTCCCCAAAAAATGAAGGGCATCTATCATTTTAGCCAGTCTGACTGGTGTAAAATGATGTCTCAAAGTTATTTTAATTTGCACTTCTCTAATCAATAATGATTTGGAGCACTTTTTTCATACGATAATATGTAGTTATGATTTCTTCATCGAAAAACTGCCTGTTCATATCCCTTAACCATTTGTCAATTGGGGTATGACTTGTATTCTTAGAAATTTGACAAAGTTCCTTATATATTTGAGAAATGAGACTTAAACAATATTGAATAATATTGGTGACATAGTGTAGTTTCCCTATTTTTATCTTTTAATTAAATCTATTTTAGCTTTAACTTTGTCTGAGATCATGACTACTATCCCTGCTCTTTTTTTACATAATAAATTTTACTCCAGCCCTTTATCTTAACTCTGTGTGCATCTCATTTTAATGTGTTTCCTGAAAGCAACATATTGTTGAATTCAGATTTTAATTCATCCTCCAGTCTGTTTTCATTTTATGGGCAAATTTATCCCATTCACATTCTAAGCTATAATTACTTATTGTATATTTCCCTCCATACTATTTTCCCTCACTATCCTTCTTGCCCTATTTATCCCATCCTTCCTCACTAGTCTAATTTACTTCTACCCATGACCTTGCTTTTCTCTTCCTTTATATACTCATCCCTCTAAAAGTCCCTCCCTTATCCTCTTGCCCCACCCTCCACCTTATTCTACTTATCTTTCTAAAAGTTTTCCCCTTATCTCCTCCCCTTCCTAATTCTTAATCTACACACCCTTCTAAATATTCCTCCCTTAGCCTATTCCCTCTCCCTTTCATTTCTTTCTAAATTTAGAAGACTTTTATACTCTTCTAGAAGTATATGTTGTTCTCTCTTTAACCTATTTCTGATGAGAGTAAGGTTACTGTACTACCAGCCCTCCATTTCCATTTTTTTCTTCTATATGAGTTCTTCCTTTCATGCCTCATTTGTATAATTACTTCTTTTTATCTCTCCCTACACAGTCTTAATTTTTAGAATCACCCTATCATACTTGGCTCAGTCCAAGCCTTTCTTTCAAACTACCCAAATAATGATGACAGTTATAAGAATCCTGATAACATTTTCACATGTAAAAAGTGAACAGTTTGACCTTACTGAGTCTCTTACACTTGGTCTTTACTGTTTACCTTCTATTTCCATTGGACCTTATATATTGAATTTTCCATTAAGTTCTGTACTTTTGGTCACAAATACCTGAAAGCCTTTCACTTCATTAAATGTCCATTTCTTTTTTTTTTTGGGGGGGGGGGTTGAGGTTCCGGATTGTATGTAACTTTGCTGGGAAATTATCCTTAGTTATAACCCCAGCTCTTTTGCTCTACAAAATATAGTGTTCCAAGACCTATAGTCCTTCAACATAGTTGCTGCTAGGTCTTGTATAATCCTTATTGTAGCTCCTTGATATTTAAATTTTTTTTTTACTCTAGTTGCTTGCAATATTTTCTCCTTAACCTGAGAGCTTTGAAACTTGGCTATGATATTCATGTAAGTTTTCCTCCTGGAATTTCTCTCAGGTGGTGATTGGTGGATTTTTTCTATTTCTGCTTTACATTCTTGTTCTAGAACTTCAGGACCATTTCCCTTAATAATTTATTGTAAGACTGTATCAGGATTCTTTTTCTGATCATGACTTTCAGGTGTTCTGACTATCCTTATATTCTCTCCTCAATCTGTTTTCCAAATCTGATGAGATGTTTCACATTGTCTTCTATTTTTTTCATTCTTTTGATTTTGTTTTTATTATTTCTTCTTATAATGTAATTAGTTTCCCCTTGCCCAGTTCTAGTTTTCAAGGAATTATTTTCTTCTTTGGATTTTTGATTCTCTATTTCCAGCTGGCTGAGCTTCTTTTCATAATTTTCTTGATTTTCTTGGATTGCTCTTTTTTTCCCCTAATTTTTCCTTAATCTCTTTCAATTGCTTTTTAAGGTTTTGGTTTTTTTAAAAGTTCCTCCAAGAACTCTTGTTGGGCTTGTGACCATGTGGCATTTCTCCTTGAAAAAGGAGTGGCTTTCTTAGCTTCACTATCTTCCTTTGAATGTGAACCCAGGTCTTCTCTATCCCCATAGTTGCTCTCTATGGTTGGATTCTTTACTCTTTGCTTACTCATCATTTTGATTTTGTTTTATTTATTTTTAGCAGCTTATTATTATAATCAAATTCTAGTCCTTGCAAGGGATGGGGAATGATGCCCCAGGCCTCAAGTCCTTCTTACAGTTATTTTCTAAGCTCTGTCCCGGGGGCCCAACTTCAGACATTCATTTCTAACCCTAAGCTAGGGCCAGGGCCCCCAGCCACACTGTCCTGCAAATGATCTTGCTCCCTGCGGTCCCCCCTTCCCCCCACTACAGCTGTCCTCTCTGCCCTGGCACTGAAACCAGGGCCTCTGCCCTCCTGCAAGTGCCCACAGGCAGCAAGGTCTCCAACCCTCTACTACTGCCCTCATCAGCATGGGCTAGCTTCTTCTCCCCTGAAGCTTAGCCTCAGACAGTGTCGAGTCAGTATGACTGTTCTTGCAGTCCCTAGCGGTGGACGCTCCTTCAATCTTCTGCTCAGCCATTGGACCCCACGCGGTCCATGAGGGTGAGGCTGCCTCTCGGCCCCCACTGCCCCCAGGGATTGTTGTTTGTTAATTCTGCAGAGTTGGCCTGGAGGGGTTTGCACTTCACTCGGCCGAACCTCTGCCCCTGGAGGCCATCTTTCCTGGGGTTTTCTCAAGTTGTCTTAGGAGGGTAACTGCTTTACTCCAATTTGTGTTTATTTCTGCTGCTCTACAGTCAGTTTGAGGCAAAATTCCAGCCTTTTGGGAGGAGGAAATTAGGAGAGCCTGAAATTTTCTGACCTGCTCTGTCATCTTCCCAGAATCCCAGGACCTTTCATTCTAGAACCAGAAGTCTTCCCACTCTGCCATGCTGTCATCTCCCAGTGAGAAGACCATGCCTGACCCCACATTTGGCACTTGGCTTTCCACGTCTGTATCCCTTCTGCCAGGTATGCTTTTTTCTTGGGCCACCTCTTAGAGTCCTTAGCTTTCTTCAAGTTTCATCTCAGTGCCACCTCCTCTGAGAAGCCTTTCCTGATTTCCCTGGTCTCCAAAGTACCTTTAGGCAGGCAAGTTGATGCCTTTACTTCTCTGTATGTGTGAGGAGGGCATAAGCTCCCTGAGATCTGGGTCCAATTTCATGTTTGCCTTTGAACCCCATCTCCTTGAGATGTGGCTGTCAGGCCTGAAATATCACGGTCTCTGAAAAATTAATGATGAATATCCCCAAAGGACCATGGAGAGGTGAAGGCAAACTGCGACAAAACTGAGAACAGGGGGTCACCAAAGGCAATGGAGAACAGATGAAAGAGTACTGGGGCTGTTTCAGTATTAGGAAAGTATCACCATAATTGACCAAATCAAAAGAAAACCAACAGAAATCATATCATTATCTCAATAGATGCAGAAAAAGCCTTTGATAAAATGTAGCACCCATTCCTATTAAACCCACTAGAGAGCACAGGAATAAGTGGTGCTTACCTTAAAATGATAAGTAATATTTATCTAAAACTATCAGCAAGCGTTATCTGTAATAGGGATAAACTAGAGGCCTTCCCAATACTATCAGGGGTGAAGCGAGGATGCCCATTATTGTCTCTATTATTTAATATTGTACTAGAAATGTTAGCTCTAGTGATGAGAAGAAAAAGAAATTAAAGGAATTAGAATAGGCAATGAGGAAACAAAGCTATCACTCTCTGTGGATGATATGATGTTATAGAGAATCCTAGAGAATCAACCAAAAAACTATTTGAAATCATTAACAACTTTAGCAAAATTACAGGACACAGAATAAACTCACCTAAATCATCAGCATTTCTATATATTACCAACAAAGTCCAGCATCAAGAGACAGAAAGAGAAATTCCATTTCAAATAACTGTCGACAATATAAAATACTGTGGAGTCTACCTGCTAAGACAAATCCAGGAACTACATGAACACAACTATAAAACAATTTTCGCACCAATAAAGGCAGATTTAAACAATTGGAAAAATATTAATTGCTCATGGATAGGCTGAGCCAACATAACAAAAATGACAACTCTACCTAAATTAATCTATTTATTCAGTGCCATACCAATCAAAGTATCAAAAAAATATTTTATAGAGCTAGAAAAAAGAACAAAATTCATCTGGAAGAACAAGAACTCAAGAATATCAAGGGAATCAATGGGGGGAAAAATGTGAAAGAAGGGAGTCTAGTTATACCAGATCTCCAGCTATATTATTAAGTGGGAATTATCAAAACAATCTGCTACTGGCAAAGAAATAGAGTGGTGGATCAGTGAAATAGATTAGGTACAAATTACATTATAGTAAATGACCACAGTAATCTAGTATATGATAAACTCAAAGATCCAAGCTTTTGGAACAGAAACTCATTATTTGACAAAAACTGTGGGGAAAACTAGAAAGCAGTATGGCAGAAACTAGGTAAAGATCATCTCACACTGTATCCAAGATAAGGTCAAAATGGGTACTTGATTTACACATAAATGGTGACACCATAAGCAAATTAAGAGAACGTGGAATAGATTATCTGTCAGATTTATGGATAAGGAAAGAATTTATAACCAAAGAAGATATAGAGAGCATTACAAAATGTTAAATAGATAATTTTGATGAAATAAAATTTAAAAGTTTTTGCACAAACAAAACCAATACAAACAAAATTCTAAGGAAAACAGAAAACTGGGGGGAAATTTGCAACAAATATCTCTTATAAAGACCTCATTTCTCAAATATATAGAGAACTGAATCAAATTTATAAGAATACAAGTCATTCCCCAATTGATAGATGGTCAAAAGATATGAACAGGCAGTTTTCACGTGAAGAAATTAAAGCCATTTATAGTCATATGAAAAAATGCTCTAAATTACTATTCATCAGAGGAATGCAAATTACAACAACTCTGAGGTACCACATCACACCTATCAGAGTGGCTAATATGACAAAAAAAAAAAGAAAATGTTGAATGTTGGAGGATATTTGAGAAAACTAGGACACTAATGCATTGTTGGTGGATTTATGAACTGATTTGACCATTCTGGAGAGCAATTTGGAACTCTGTCCAAAGGGCTATAAAACCATGCATACCCTTTGATCCAGCAATACTGCTACTAGGTCTATATCCCAAAGACATAGAAAAGGACCTAGTTGTACGAAAATATTTATAGCAGTCCTTTTTGAGGTGGCAAAGAATTAGACATCAAAGGGATGCCCATCAACTGGGGAATGGCTAAAAAAGCTGTGGTACATGCTTGTAATGGAATATTATTGTGCTATAGGAAATGAGAAGCAAGCAGATTTAAGAAAAACCTTAGAAAGACTTACATGAACTGATGCAAAGTAAAGTGAGCAGAACCAGAACATTGTTCACAGTAACAGCAATGTTGTTCAATGAACTGGGAATGACTTAGCTCTTCTCAGCAATACGATGATCCAAGACAATCCCAAAGAACTAATGATGAAGCATACTATCTGCCTCCAGAGAAAGAACTGACAGTGATTGAATATAGACTGAAGCATGCTATTTTTCACTTTCTTTCATTTTTTTCTTTTATTTGAGTCTTCTTGTACAAAATGGCTAATATAGAAATGTTTTATACAATCGCACATGTGAAATCTATATCTGATTGTTTACCATCAAAGGGAGGTGGGTGAGGAGGGAAGGATAGAATTTGGAACTCAAAACTTTAAATTAAAATGTTAAAAAATTGGAGGGAGGAAGAGTACAGGGTCTGGGTTCAAATCCTTCCTTTTAAATGTATGACTACACCTGTGTGACCCTGGGCCTCAATTTCCTCTTCTGTAAAATGAGAAGGTTGTGATGCGGATGGGATCTGAAGCCCTGAAAGGAAAAGATCTTTGGGATCTGGACCCCAAAAAGGAAAAACCCTGGACCTTCCCACCAGGCCAAATCTCTGAAGTTCACCTGAGGCTGTGATCCTATCAACTGGCCTTTTATTGTTGCTATAACCTCCCAATTGCTCCTGGCCACTTCCCACCCTTAATCCTATCTAGACTCCATTCTCCCTTGGCCTCCTGGTCCAGGTCCCTGGCCTTGTTCACCACTTACTGGCTTACTGGCCACTCCCATCCAGGTCCTCCTTAGACCCTCCAGTCACCCCAGATCCCTCCTAGTCACTCCTGGATCCCTCCCACAGTCTTTCTGTATATAAGATTCATCTTGTCTCCATTAAGGTGCTCAGATTCTTAAGATCTGACCCACCTTCATTAGTGATATGAATGTAAGCATTCCTTAAGAGTCTGCCCAATATGATGGATGTTGTAATAAACTTTGTCTTTGGCTGAAAGAAGGCTTGGGTCGATTCTTTTGGACAGGACCCGCATGTCGTGATTTTGGGGTCCCGGCACCCCTAAACCTCAACAGTTGGGATAGATGACCTCTGCAGTCTTTGCTAGTTCTAGGTCCAGGATTCTGTGACTGTGGGCAGAAAAGGTGAGGTGGTCAGAGGGAGACAGCTGATACCCCCTCAGCTTCTGCCAATACCAGGAGACTGGTTTCAGGAGGAAGGCCCCAGCATGAGGGCGCACCCCTGTGATGTATTGGTGGGAGGTCCTGATCCAGTCCCCCAGGATGCACAGTTGCAGATGGGAAGGCATGGTACTCAGAGGTGCTTGTATTCTAGCTTACCTAGTGCCTGCCTTGTACACAGTGCCTTGTACACAGTGTGTGCTAACTGAATGCTTAATGAATTGAGTTTAAGCTTCAAAGGAGGCTTAGCCTAAGAATAGTTAGACTGGAACCCTGGAAAAGTGCCCCACTCCCACCTCGGGTGGCCCAGTGACTTCAGGGTGGGAGTTGGGTATCTGGAGACCTCACTTCTAATCTTTCTTCTGCCACTAACTTGCTGTGGAACCTTGGGCAGTCCCCTCCCCCTCCAAGGCCCTCGCTTGTTTAGAAATTCTCTCTGAGGCCCAGTTAAGGTCAGGCTGCTGGGGAAGCTGGGAGGAGACACAAGACGCAGACAGCAGACAAGTGTGATTAATGAGTAACCCCTGGGAAAGAACTGGAGAGAGTGGGTGACAGGTGAAGGGGGCAGGGGAGGAATGGGATCTCTCGGGTGCAGTCATTTATAGGTCACCACATCCTCCTAAGTATGCAGAAGGAAGCTCCTGGCCAAGGAGAGGTGAGGAGGTTCAGTGTGGATGACACCTCCAGGTGAGGTCATTTGGGGTTAAGGGAGCCAGAGGTGAATTTTAGACTTGAGGCTGCCTGGGTTCATCTTTTTTTGTCCTCTTATAAGACTTATGCTGATTATATTCAGCTGGTGGATGATCAGGGGCTGAAGACCGGAAGACAGATTGCCAACTTGGACTCAGCCGCCGTCTCATTCCCACACCAGAGAGTGGATGGGAAAGGAAGGCAAATGTCCATCGGAAGAAGAGTCAGCATCACAATCCAAGATTTAGAGCTGGTAATGAAGGGGTCAGGGGACCTGAACCCTTAAAGGAAAAGACTATGTCTGAAAGCAACCCAGAACCTGAATTTTCCCATACATTTCCCCCAGGGTACAGGTCCTGGGAAACATCCCCTCCTCCAACTTTTCTTGAACTTTCACACATGGCCAAGGCTCTGTTCACCTGACACTATAATCCTTTCAACTGACCTTTCTTTGTGGCCTACACCCAAACCTCCAATTCTGTTACATCTAACCTAGCTCAGCCCTTCTTTCCTTGTCTGGATGGCCCCAGGTTCTAGACCCAGGTACCTCCCAGTCATCCCAGCCTACTGTCAACTCCCATCCAGAAATTCCCATAGTCTTTCCGTATGTGTCCATCTTGGTCCCAACAAATCGCTCAGATTCCTTAAGAGTCTGGCCAATACTGAGGATTCTTAAAATCACGCTGTGTTCTAATAAACCTTGTCTTTGGCTGAAAGAAGGCTTGGGTTGAATTTCTTTGAGGCAAGACCTGTATGGCTATTTCAGGGTCCAGTGATGAGGATGGAATCTAGACCCCAAAAAGGAAAAACCCTGCACTTTCCCACAAGGCCAAATCTCTGGCTTTTGCCCAAGGCTATAATCCCTGTCAACTGGCCTTTCATTGTGGCTACACCCAATCTGTGTTACCCTTAACCTAGCTTGGCCTTCTATTGTTTTAGCTACCTATGGCCCCTGGCCAGTCTTAGCTAGGCTCCATTGTTCAGGTCCCAGAAGCTCTGTTCACCCCAGTTTACTGGCCACTCCCATTCAGATCTTCCTTAGACTCCTCCTCCAGTCACCCCAAACTACTTGGCCACTCCTAGATCCCTCCCACAGACTGTCTGTATACAAGGTCCATCTTGTCTCCATTAAGGTGCTTAGATTCTTAAAATCTAGCCACTGCTCAGATTCTTATAATCTAGCCACTAGTTTACTAATGTTCAGATTCCTAAAGAGTCTGCCCAATATGATGGATGTTCTAATAAGCCTTGTCTTTGGCTAAAAGAAGACTTGGGTCAAATTCTTTCAGACAGGATCTGTATGTTGTGATTTTGGGGTCCCAGCACCCCAAACTCCTAAACCTCAACACTAGCACCCCTCAACCTCAACACCCTTACATTTTGGGGTTCCCAGCACCCCAAACAGCAACAGAAAGAGCCCTAGAGGCCATTAAATCCAACTCTTCTCACTTTATAAATGAAAAAAATAATCCATGAAAGTCTAAGAAAAAATTACTATACCAAGACCCCACAGCTAGTAAGGCAATATTTGAACTCTGGTCTTCCTAAGTGTAGAACTCTGTCCTCTACAGCACCTAGGACCCAAGATGTGAGTGCTTACAGAAAATTCAAGCTGCTTGGTCTCACAGGAACTTGTATTTCTATGGACCAATTACTTGGGATGTTCTTGGAGAAGGAGATGACTGTTAAGACCAGCATTTTACCCATCAACGTTCTTGGCTCTCAGTCTAGGGAACCAAATTCCTATTAGCATATGGAACCTCCCAGAGAAAATCTATCAGCTCTTGCATGGAGCTGTCTTTGTATGGGAAACGGGAGGGATCAGGCGGGTGCACAACCCTCCTCAGGTTATCCTGCCCCTGTATAAAAGTCTCCTACCAATTCCTCATTGGTGGAGGTGATGGCCTGGGCTTTGAGACATTCTACCAGGAGAACTCTCCCACTATATTGTAAGTAAGCTCCATGAGGGCAGGGGCTGTTTCATTTTCGTTGGTTTGTTTTCTTGGCTGGATAGCCCTAAGGTGAGCACAGGACCTGGCCCGTGGTAGCTGCTAAATAAATGTTAGCTGAATTGAATATTTGTTTCATGAGGTCCTTGACAGATAGAACTTTGGGCCAAATCAAACAAGAAAAAAAATGTCAGAGAGATAAATGTGAAGTCTGACACTTGGGTCCAAAAAGTCAACTCCAGTGGTATAAAGGACTGTTAGCCAGACAGTCATGTGTGCTCAAAAAATCTGGGGAACTTGGGGGGCTACCTTAGAAGCTCAGGAGATACCCATAGTGCAATATGGAGGCTGAAAAGTCCATGGGATCTTGGGGTGTGTCAGAGAGAGTAGGGAAAGTGGAAGTCCCACTGGCCTTCCTACTAGCCACAGCTGGGGATTGTTTTCAGTTTTGGACTCACAGGTTAGAAAGGAGGTCACTAATGCTCAGAAGACGGTGCCTGGGATGGGAGGGGTGGCCCTTGGGTTAATGATGATGAGTCAGGATGAGCTGAAGGAATTGTAAGCTCTTTGAGGGCAGAGATTATTTCATTTCTGGTCTCAGTACACCTAGTGCCTGGCACCATATTAAGCACTGAGTGAATGCTTATTGATTGAAATTAGAATATTCAAGCCACAGAAGAGAAGACTGGGGGACACAATGCAATCTTTAAGTATTTCAGGGGCTGTCATGCAGTAAAAGCCTAAGGCTGGTTTGACTTGGTCTCAAAGGATAGGATAGCACAGTGCAAAGGAACCAGGGCTCTGGAGTTGGAGGACCTGGGTTCAAATCTTGCCTCTAACACTATATGTGACTTCAGGCAAGTCAATTTACCATCCTCAGCCTCAGTTTCTTCCTCAGTAAAGTTATGGGACTGGACTAGATATCCTTCAAGGTCTCTTCCAGCTCAACATCAATGATCTTATGTTTCAAATCAAAGGAAAGGGAAGCTGGAGAGAGGTAAAGTTTGGCCGCCTGTAAGGAAAAACTTGCTAATGATGAGAATATGTAAAATGGGAATAGATTGCTTTGGGAGGGAGTGGCGCAACTCTGCATGCCCCTGTACCCAATGATTGACCCAACCCAGGCAGGTGCTGTCTGTCCATCCAGTACACAGGTCTGCCTGTTGGGCTCAACACTCCACACTCTCAACACCGGAAGGTGACGTGGGTGGCCATCATCCAGCTTCCTGTGCCCCTTGAGGCCATTCAGTCCTTTATAGGTAGGTGGCTTCATCGCTGTACTCTTCTGCCATCTCCTCCATGTTTCCCTTTCCCTCACTCCCCTTCCAGTTTAGCAACTCTAGTAAATCAATACTGACACTGGTCCTGGAAATAGGGTGTCAATCTGCTCCCCTATGGCTCCACCATCTCTGTGACTTTCCAAAAAGGGCAACATGGAGGTGTCAGCTTGGACTCCTCACTCTCTCTCACCCCTCCCCCATCCAATATGGTGCCAAGGTTTATTAATTTCACCTCTGTAGCATCTCTCAAATATGCCCCCTTCTCTCCTCTGACCCTCTGACACAGACCTTCATCACTTCATGTCTGGACTATTGCAACAGCCGTTGAGGCTGCTTGCCTCAACTCTCTCCAAAAGTGATTTTCCTAATGTGCAGGCCTGACCACGTCACCCCAACACATACCCAAAGCCCTGTTGAATAAACTCCAGTGGCTCCCTATTACCTCCAAGATCAAATATAAAATCTTTTAAAGCCCTTCATAACCTGCACCCTGCCTTCCCTTCGTCTCTTCTTATACCTTACCCCTTTCCCACTATTCTGAGCTCCAGGGACACTGGCCTTCTTGCTGATCTCTGAATGTGACCCATCTCCTGAATCATCTTCCCTGCCTGGAATGCCCTCCCTCCTCATCTCTGCCTCCTGGCTTCCCTGGTCTCCTCCAAGTCTCAGCCAAACTCCCATCTTCCACAAGAAGCCTTTCCCAATCCCTCTTAATTCTAGGGCCTTCCCTCTGTTGACTAGCTCCAATTTATCCTTGTTTGTACATAGCTATCTGCGTGTTGTCTCCCTGTTAGATTATAAGCTCCTTGAGGCATGAGTTGGTTTGTTTTATTTTTTTCTTTTCCTTTCTTTGTATCCCCAGTGCTTAGCAGAGTCTGAAGACATTAAGTGCTTAATAAATGCTTGTTGACTTGGGATCTGTGCAGATGACTCCTAGGTCTCTCTATCCAACCTGGGTCTTTCTTTCTAAGCCGGTCCACCATCACTGTAAGATGATAGGACATTAGATCTGGAGCTATGGTGAAGGCTGACGAGCACTGCGCTCCCCCTTTCTTAACATGACTCACATTATTCTAGAATAAGCTGCCATTTTGGTATTCAGTGGGTAGTCTACATTCACCCAGATATTTTCTTTTCTTTTTCCTCAGTTGGTGGAGAACACATTAGTGCTGTGGGAACTCAACCAGTAGTACCAGAGAGCCCTGTCCCTTCCCCCCTCCTCCTAAGGAGAGATTCAGCCAGCTTTGCTCTAAGTATCTGATCAATGGGCATTAGGAGAGGGGTCCCAGAGCCTATGTACTTCTTGATAATGCTATGGGAGGTGAGGGAGTGAAGGAGCATTTGGCAGGAAGTCACCATAATGCAATAAAAGAAGAAAATATAGTAAACTATCAATGTAACATTTAAAATATGTATATATATATATATATATATATATATATATGTGTGTATATATATATATATATATAAAAGACAGCAGAAGTAAATTTGAAAGGGGATGAGCAGGGAAGTTTTATTGACAACACTTAATATGTACACACATATGCAAACCCCAACCAAATGATATGTAACAAAAGTTCACCAATTCATGAACAGGAACTGTCCATGTTCACTAAGTTCACAATAAAAAATAGAAATATTAAGTCAAGAGACATGGCAAGATATGAAGAGTGTCCCAGTGGCCATCAGTCCACATTCTTCATGGTCGGAGCCACTTCTAGGAAGAGCTGAATTTGTACTGTGGCCTCCTGCAAGAGTCGGGGCCGGTATCTGAAGTAAATGATGGGGAAATACACCACTATGCCACTGAGCATGAACAGGAAGACGTAAAGGAATTCCATCTGTGGTTGGTCAATGATGGGTGCCAGGATCAGGTAGATGGAGGCCAGCAGCACAATGACTGGGATGATGATGGGGACCTTCAGTGGAAGAGGACACCAACTGGTCATTCTAGAACAGGAGGAGGCACTCCAGCCCAGCCCAGCCCCCATTTCATAGACATGGAAACTGAGGGATAGAGCTGGAAACAGGAAGCAGAGTAGACATCCTGCCTGTTGTCATTTCACTTCATCAATGGCTTTCAAAGGCTTCTGACACTACCTCAGGGAATTTCCATCTATTGTATTTTACCTTTACTAATGACCCAATAGATCTCACAAGAGACAAAGAATCTAAAATGGACCAAGGAACTTCTTTTTCTTCACAGACAGGACTGAATTGCAGTCTCTAGAGTGGTGGGTGCTGCAGGCGAGGTAGGAGGAGAGGAAGGGGAGGAGATCAGAGAAGAAAGACCTTCCCTGATCTGCCCCAGGCTGATGAGAAAGGATGGCAGCCAGCTGCCTTGCTCATCCCTGAGGTTAACCCAGAGCTCAGCTCCTGGTGCATAGCAGGTGCTCAATAAATGTTTGTTGATTGACTGTTGGATCGACTTTGAGGTTCATTGGTCACAGCAGTTTTCCCCAAAATAACTGTTCCACCATCTATCTTGCTGACCTCAGGCTTCTCCTGACCCCAAGGTCAGCTTCCCCTCATGCCTGGCTGATCACAGGTCTATAAGGTCTAGTCCAACTCTAGACTCTATGGACAGTTTTGGCTATAGACCCCAATGGCCCACACCATGGAAGCTGGACCAGCTCTGGCTTCTGGGCTCATGAAATCTCAGCAGAACTGGAGGCCCTCCCTCCTGAGCTCCTCCTTTGCCCACTCAGTCCCTTCCCTGGGCTCACACTCTGTTCCTTCCTGGTGAGCTCTAAGACCTGTTACACCCAAGACAGGAGGCATCAGGAGATACCACCAAGTTGACAACTATCAACCAGATGGTGGAGCAAGAGGTTGATGCAAACAAAAGGGTCCTCAATCCCATCCCCCTTCTCCCACTGATGAGCTCTTCTTGTAAGCCAGCCATCCTTCATTCCTCTCCTGGCTCTGCTTCTGACTCACTGGACCTCCCCACAAGATCTCCACCCCAGTCCCTTCCTTCTTCTGCCCTGTGAGGAGGTAAGCTTCTTGGGGGCAGGGTCTGTATATCTTTTTACTTGTATCCCCAGTGGCTGGCACATGGTAAGTGCTGACTCAATTTACCTTGTATGATCTTGGCAAGTCTTTCTTCTTAACTTTCAGATAAAGGAGGCAGCTGATGGTAGTTCCATGAATCATCCACAATACAAAGCTAAGAAAGAACACTGGCTTATTCTCTGCCTCGAGTAAGGGCCACAGTCAGGGAGGGAGGGAGGGAGCTGGGGCTGACCATGTGCCCTGACTGATTCCAAGACCATTTCTCCTGCAGCCAAACCTACTAGAGAAGGGGAAGGAGGTGGCCATCTCTAGGGCCGTGGAGTAGGGGAGACCTGGGCTTGGCCCTTGCTGAGATCAGTGACCCTACCCTAGGCAAGACTTTTCACCTCTGTTCCCTCCATGAGAGACCGTGGATAATACTAGGTCCTTCTCCAGGGTTGCTGGGAGGGTCAAATGGGATAACATGTGTGAAGGGCTGTGGGGATTGTAAATCGCCCGAGAAGTGCTAGCCTCTGCCTCTGTTGGGATGGTCAGCAGCAACAGAGGTTACCCCAGCAGCCAGCCAGCTCCTCAAACCTCCCCTGCCTCAACACTGTAATAACTGGGAATCTCCCCCTCCTCAGGATTGTATTCAGTCTTTTGAGGAGTGCTCCTGACTCGCCTTGAGCTCAGAGTGCACTAAAACCTAAAGATCTTTTTTAGAGAAACTACTGCGTCACAGCTGCCCGCCATCTTGTAATGAGGGTGAGTTTTGGAACCCAAGAGCCTTCCTTGTATTTGCTCACTTGACCTGTCCTAAGAAAGACGTTTTGGTCATCCCAAATTGAGAAGTCGGTTGATTTTCTCTCCTCTTTGACCAACAGCCCAGTGGCAGGGGAAGGAGGCAGGGCACTGGGTGTCAGAGCCCTGTGGCTGAATCTCCAGCATTCTAGGACTTCGGACCAGCCCTCTCCCTTCTGTCCTGCTCTGTCAGAGGAGAGGAGTCCCTAGAGCTCCTCCCACCTCACCTTCTCACACTCTCCTCCTCCCCACCTCCACCCTACCCCCACAGTCCCAGCAGCAGCAGCAGGACCTTCCCCCGTGCCTGCAAAAGTTGACAATGCTGCTGAAGTTTCCAGGGATGATCATGATCAGAGCCACTGCCGCGGTGAACGTCAGAGCTGGGGAAGGGGTGAGATACCGGACGTGGGCCATGGACAGGATACCTGGCTGGTCACAGCACAAGGAAGAAGGTGGTTAGGCCCTGGCAGGGACCTTCGGGGAGGACAGTCAAAGGGGATCAAGGCTTCCTCTTGGCCAGCACAGAAACTCCTGGACCAGTCCTGACTCAGAGGATAGGGGTGGGGGTCAGCCTGGGCAGTAGGTGCCGTTACCCCCAGCCCCCAGCTGGAGCATCAGGGCCTGGAGAAGGGAGCTTGCTGCAGGGACAGGAGGAAGCCCTTCCTTACCATATGCCCCTCCCTGGCAGCGACGTAGCACACTCGGCTCCCACTGAAAAACGCTCCGTTTGCTGACCCGAAGGTGGAGAGAGCCACCGAGAGGGGCACCAGCCAGGCCCAATCTCCCAGGATCTGATTCCTAGAAAACACAAAGGGCAAGAAAGGAGATGTGTACTTGTGTCTGTTCCTTGTCTTCCCCTGATTTACCTTCTAGCCAAGCAAGCCGTGATCCTGCCGGGAGGGCCTGTTCTGGACCTTCAGATCCTGTGAAGCAGCTGGGGCACAGCTGGCCTGTTGTGGCTGTGGTTGTTCCATGGTTTAGGCATGTCTGACTCTTCATGGCCCATTTGAGATTTTCTCGGCAGAGATACTGGAGTGGTTTGCCTCTTCCTTCTCAGCTCATTTTACAGATGGGGACACTGAGGCACAAAGGGTGATGTGACTCACCCAGGGTCACACAGCTACGAAGTGTCTGAGGACAGATTTGAACTCAGAAAGATGAGTCTCCCTGACTTCAGGGCCGGTGCTCTATTGCAGGATCAGAGAAATACTTCAAGGCAGGGGCCGCAGGTGGCTGGGGAGCCAGGGGCTAGAGACTGTTTTCCTGAAGACTTTCCTTACAAGTCTGTGAAGGAGGGAGTGCCAGGATTACTGTTGCCATCGAAGGAGGGGTAAACTGAGGCTGAGAGGTGTCCAAGGCCAGAGCTGGCTGCCTCCCACCTGGAATTTGCCCTGACCCCCTCCCTAACAGGCTGACACATGGGAGCAATAGGAGGAAATGTGCAGGGACGGTAAGGGGAACTAGCAGGGAGAAGGGCGGGCCATGAATGGAGGTTGGAGAACAGGAGGAGCAGATGGCCAGTTCCAGGATCCTGGGTTCTAATCCTGCCTTGGCCACTTGCCAGCTGGGTAACCCGGGGCTGGTCACTTTGCTTCTCATGTCTATGCTTGGGAGTCTACATAAGGAGAAGGTCCTGAGAAAGAACCTTGGGGGCCATGTTGGGACAGTGAAGGCATCTGCCTCTCACTTTTTAAGTGGGAAAGGCTTTTCCTTCTCTGGGCTCAGTTTCTACCTCTGAAAAGTGGGAATAATGGTGCTGGGGCTTTGTCAACACTCAAACATTATAGGGATGCAGGTTATCCTTTCTGCCCAGCCCTGGAGGTTTCCCCCAAGGGCTACCCTGTGGCTGCTGCTCACCCCCAGGTGACCGCCACAGCGCTGGAGTCCCGGATGTCACTGGGACTCATGACCACCATATAGCTCAGGTTTACAAGGATGTAGAGGACAGTGACCAGGGGAATGGAGATCACTACGGCCCGAACCAGGTTCTTCTGTAGAGAGAAACATGAAAAGGGACTCAGTGACCTCCTTCCATCCCCCATCCCCATGCTGGATTCTCAATATTCAAGCATTTTCTTCTGTGCATGCCAGGGGCAAAGCCCCTACTCCCAGTACTAAGGATGGACAGAGGTGATATGGCCATGGCCCCTGCCTGCCCTGGGGGGCTTAGAATCCAGGTGTGCATACATATTCAAGAACAGGGAACCAGCAATATGAGCAGGGAACCAGCCTGAGCCTTCAGAAAGGGCTGAGTGAGGGTATTTCACTTGGGGATCTTCGTAAGATGAGGTGGGGGGAGGAGGAGGAGGAGAAGAAGAAGAAAAAAAGAAAGAAGAGGAAGGAGGAAGAGGAAAGAAGGGGAGGGGGAGGAGGTGGTAGAGGAGGAGGAAGAAGAAGGAAAGAAGAAGAGGAAGGAGAAAGAGGAAAGAAGGGAAGTCAGGGAGGAGGGGGAGAGGGAGGAGAAGGAGGAGGAGGAGGAGGAGGAGAAGAAGAAGAAGAAGAAGAAGAAGAAGAAGAAGAAGAAGAAGAAGAAGAAGAAGAAGAAGAGAAAGAAAGAAGAGGAAGGAAAAAAAAAGAAAGAAGGGGAGGCAGAAAGGAGGGGGACGAGGAGGAGAAGAACTTAATATTTCTATAATACCTTTAGGCCTGCAAACCCTTGGCCTCTCCTGGGCTAGAGAGAGCCGAAGCTTCCAGGAAGGAGCCAGCGAGAGTCTCACTGGCTTGGGCTCTTGCCCCTCATCTGAAAGGTGGCCATCAGTTCAGGGATCTACTGTTTAGAAAGGATACTGATAAGCTGGAGATTGTCCAGGGGAGGGCAGCCAGGCTGGGGAAGGGCCCAGAGTCCAGCTGGGCAGTGGCTGGAGGAATGGAGGAGAGTCAGCCTAGAAAGACATGTGTGGGATACAGTGGGTGGGCACAGCTGTCCTCAGGTACCTGCAGGCTCTCCTGCTGAAGGAGATTAGCCTGGCTCTGCTTGGCCTCCAGGGACCAGGACTGGGAGCCTTTTGGGAAAGATGCAGAGGCCATTTGAGGCCACAGGTCAAAAAAGAGACCCCTGACCACAAGAGTCACCCCAAAGTAGAATGGGCTGCTGAGATGTGATGGCGGCTCCCTCTCCCTTCCTCAGAAGTGCTTGAACCTAGGCTTGACAACCTTCTCTCCAGAAAGTCAGAGTGGGGATTCCTCCCTCCCTCCTGCCTTCCCTCCTTCCCCCCCTCCTTTCCTTCCTTCCTCCCTCCCTCCCTCCCTCCCTCCCTTCCTTCCTTCCTTCCTTCCTTCCTTCCTTCCTTCCTTCCTTCCTTCCTTCCTTCCTTCCTTCTTTCTTTTCTCCTTCCCTCCCTCCCTCCGTCCTTTCCTTCCTTCCTTCCTTCTTTCTTTTCTCCTTCCCTCCCTCCCTCCCTCCTTTCCTTCCTTCCTTCCTTCTTTCCTCCCTCCCTCCCTTCCTTCCTGTTTAAGCTGGACTAAATGGAGGCCATAGGGTCAGATGTCAGGGTCACCTCCAGTTGTCAGATTCTGTGATTCTGTAAAGGAGCTGCTCATAGTGATGGGAGTATGGAAACAGCCTCAGGGCCTCCATCGTGCTCTATAAAGTAAGATTGTTAGGCCAGCCCTTTCTCTCCCATAGCAGCATCCTGCAGCTCACAGTGAGAGGTATTGGACCAATGCTCATAGAGTTGAATTAAGCCTTAGACTTTTAGCACAGTGGATTCTTGGGGACTTTCTAACCTGCCTCAATGACCCTCAGGGCCATCAGCTCTCAGCTCTGCTCAGGATAGAGAATGGGGCCGTGGGGGGGGGGAGGTGCTGGGAGTGGGATGTGAGCCTATCTGAAAGCAGACAGCCCTGGATTCAGGGCAGTGTCAGGTAGAGGGAAAAGAAAGGGCAGGGAAGAAGAAAGGAAAGGGAAAGAGAAGGGGGAAAGAGAGGAGGAGCAGCAGAAGAGGAATGGATGCTGGACAGGACAGGAAGTATAAGGGTAAGGTGTGTCTTACTTATAAGGAGTCAGCTGGTACCTGCTCGAGAGAGCCAGTTGTTAAAATTTCAGTACAAACATTTACACCTTGGAAATTAGCAAACACAACCAATCAGGGCTTGCTTTCTTGTTGCATTTCTTGTCTAGACTTAAGGAAGTAATGAGGGAAATGGGAATAATGCACGTGAAATTTTCAAATCTGTTGGGGATGCATTTTGTTCCCTTTGGAGAGCTGGTAGTCTACATTTACCAGCATACAGTCGGGTAAGGTTGTGGTTACAGAAAATACTAAGATAAATCAATTAATAAAAAGACAATTAGGGGGCAGCTAGGTGGTGCAGTGGATAGAGCACCAGCCCTGGATTCAGAAGGACCTGAGTTCAAATCTGGCCTCAGACACATAATACTTACTAGCATTGTGACCCTGGGCAAGTCACTTAACCCCATTGCCTAGCCCCCCCCCAAAAAAAAGCTTATGGAGTGAATGTTGAAAACTAAAAATTAATTTAAAAAAAAGACATTCACTAAATATTCAGCACCTGTGATAGATAGCTAAGTAAATAAATACAAGCCAATGCTGCAGTTGTGGGAACAGAGGTCTGGTGGAGCTCTGGATTCCTAAAGGTAAAGGTGAGGAGGTCAGCTGGCCTGCCTAGTGCTCTCTGGGTGAATGGTTAACCACTTTCTCAGCTCAGGGGAAATTAGAGGAGTCCCGGGGACAGCCAGAAGCCCAGAGCCAAGGTTTGGCAGCAACCCCTCCTTGGGAGCCCTGGGACCCATGAGGGACGGGGGAGGCAAGGGAGGGGATGTCCTTGAAGGCCCGCCTCCCCTCTTTCCCCCCACCAAAGCCACTGTCTTCATCGAAGTCTCCTGAGTTCAAGGGTGCAGGTCTGGTTCCAGGAGAGGTGCGTTGGGTGATGTCTCTCTCTGGGGAAACCCTGCCCCTGCCCAGGGCTCCTGGGTCATTCCCGGATAAGGTCATAACAGCCATGGCACAATAGCAGTGCACCTCCTGCCCTGCCCCAAGCCTTCTCACGCATGGCCCTCACCACACCCGTATGAGACGGGGTTCTGAAAGTAATAGTGTTCTATTTCATCCAGGAGGCAACTGAGGCCCCAGGAGAGGAAGAGGCTGGTCCCAGGGCCCACACTAGTGAGCCTTGGAATCCCCGGGGCCCTGGTGGCAACTCTGTCTCCCCAGCAGGCTTGTCAGGCTCATCCCTAGCCTTCCCCCAGTAGACCGCTGCCCTGGCCATCACATCCCCCAGTGGGGTGTGGGAGGGCCACAGGGTTGGACCCCTCCCACCCAGCCTCCAGCCCTGCCCCAGGGGCCCATGGGAGCTAGCAGGAGGCAGGGGCCCCTTCCTCACTGTCATCCCTCCTGCTGCCCTACTCAGCACTCCTAGGGCTTCAGTTACAGAGGCAGCCTTGGGGAAGGGCCCCCCAAGCCGCAGGGCAGAAACTCTCCCTTCCCCCCTAGTTGTCTCCTCCTCTTTCCCCCTTCTGGGTTCTCCTGGCCCACTGTTTGGCTGGCTTTTTAAATGAGTTGACATTTGGGGTTGGAAAGGGCCCTGCCTCGGGGACAAAAGGCCAGCTCCTCCTCCTGTCCTCCGGAGCCCTCCACACCTTCCCAGCCTCATCTGCCTCTGCTTCTCTTCTCCTGAATGCTCCAGACCAAGTTGCCATTGGCCTGCCTGTTTCCTCCTCTCCTCTCCCCACCATGCCCACTGGCACAGACTGTCCTTCTGTGGGCAATATGATCCCTCTTCACCTCTCTGTTGTTGCAATCATTTTCCAGGCTGCAACCACAGCTCTGCCTCTTTGCTTAGGATGAGGGTTCCTAGAGCCTCGATGACCCCAAGCATTTAGCACTGTGCCCAGCAGTCCTCAGGGCTTGTTGACTGACTGACTGATCTCTGGGGGAGCTTTCCCCGATCTCCCAGCTGCAAGGAAGCAAGCAGTCCCTCCTCCTGTTGTCCTGGAGCTCTTGGGCAGAGCTCTCATGACCCCCCCACTCCACCCTGTAACCTCTTTATCTGCACACATGCTGGGTCCCCCCCAGGACACTGTGGGCTCTCCCTGGAGTAAGAGCCTGCCATTTTGCTGCAGGTAAGATGTGGGAGACAGAACGGTGGGTGAGGCTTGTGGGAGCCCCGCATTTGAAGCCCCTGGGAGCTGTGCGCTCCTGGTCAAATCTGGTCAAATCCAGTTAATTTTTCTGTTCTGTGAAAGGTGGGGGGAGAGGGGGATGGTAATAGCATCTACCTCAAGGGTTGTTGTGGGGACAAGCTAAGATGACATAAAATGCTCTGCAAACTTTAAAGTGTTCCCCAACTGCTTCCTGCTAGGATGTTTTCAGACTGTCCCATGCACACAGCAGGTGCTTAGATGCTGAATTGGCTTCTCAGCTATCCCTCTCAGTGCAGAGGGTTTCCTTCCCCTGGGGCTGTGGAATTAAGTGAACGGCTTTTGGGGGGCCTCTCAGGGCCCCGAAACGTGAGATAAGATGAGGCCACCCGTAAATCAAACAGAACAGACCACCTCCTGCCCAGCCCTGTTCCTTCTGGTTCATGGTTCGTGGTCCCCAATTAGGAATCAAACCTGCGGATGTGTGATTGATGGGGAGGAAGGTCACTCACCTTTGAATTCCTTAGCTCTTCAGTCACCAGATTCAAATTGTTCCACCCATTGAAAGACCAGAGGCCCTGGTAGAAAGCGATGCTGATGCTTCCCAGCTGCTGGGTGGTGTCCGCGAAGGCGTTCTGGAGGGTGTCGCCGGCACTACCCCGGACCAGGACCCAGAACCCTCCGCCGATGATGACGAGCAGCGCCAAGACCTTGGCTACGGTGCATAGGTTCATCAACCCGGTGGCCAGCCTCACGCTTCGGCAGTTGGCCAAGGCGAGGATCAGGATGCAGGCGGCGGCCACACATTTGACCAGCACCACCGGCATCGAGGAGCAGCTGGGGTAGAAAGGAGCTACCACATACTCTGCAAAGGTCAGTGACATGGCTGCGATCCCAGCCGGTCTGACCAACAGTGTGGATACGTAAATCACCAGGAAGGCAGGGAGGGCCCCGAAGGTCCGGAGGATGTAGACGTAGTCTCCGCCCGACTCTGTGATGAGCGTGCCCAGCTCCGCGTAGCTCAGTGCTCCCAGAGTGGCCAGGAGACCGCAGGCTGCCCAGATGACCAGGCTTCCCCCGGGGCTCCCCATGTGGTAGAGAACATGCTGGGGATTCATGAAGATCCCGGCGCCGATCATGCAGCCTGCGATCAGTGACACGGAGCTGGCCAGCCCCAGCTCCCTCCGAAGCCGCAGTTTGGCGGGCTCCGCAGCCCTGGGAGATGGCGGCCTTTCCTCCTCTGCCCCCATTGCCAACAGGTGTTGTGGGCAGCGAGGAGCAGAGACTGAGCCTGAGTTGGGGCTGAGTTAATGATTATACCTGGAATTTGGCCGACAGGACAAAGGGCCCAGAATCAGCCAGTGAAGAGACCGTGCTCTAGAGGTAGAGCACCCTTGACTTCACTTGGGACAGGGCAATCCAGGGCAAAACGCTAGGCATTTGGAGTCAGGAAACTGAGTGCGAATATGACCTCTGCTCTTTTCTATCAACCAACAGCACCTACTTATTTATTTATTAAGTACCTACTACGTGCCAGGCACTATGCAAAGCCCAGGGGATACAAAGAGAAGCAGACAGTCCCTTCCCTCAGGGAGCTTACAGTCTAATGGGGAAGACAGCATGCAACAAATACATACCTACAAGCTATATCCAGTAAAAATAGGCAGAGGGAAGGCGCTGGAATGAAGAGGGGGTGGGAAGACTTCATGTAGAAGGTGGAATTTTAGCTGGGACTTAAAGGAAGCCAGGGAAGTCAGGAGTCAGAACGTGATGGGAGAGTGAGCCAGGCCTGGGGGGCAGAGAGGATGCTGAGAGAAAGCCTCCAGAGAGGGGTTTGTTCAAGGGCCAGCCAGGAGGCCAGAGGCCACTGGATTGAAGAGCTCCTGTTGGGGAGTAAGGTGTGAGAAGACCCAAAAGGGAGGGGGGTGTTAGGAAGAGCTTTGATGCAGAATGGGATTTTGCATTTGCTCCCGGAGGCCCTAGGGAGCCAGTGGGGTTTATTGAGAAGGGGAGTGACACCGTCAGACCTGTGCTTTAGGAAAATCACTTTGGTGGCTGGAGGATGGACGGGAATAGGGGGAGACCCAAGACAAACAGGACCCCCCCAGAAGCTATTGCCACAATCCAGGTGGGAGGTGATGGGGTCTGCACCAGGGTGGGGGCAACATCAGAGAAGAGATGCTGCAGAGGTGGTCTCCTGGCCTCCCTCTGCCTTAGTCTCCTGCTTTTTAAAATTAGGAGATTGGCCCAGATCAGGAGTCTCAACTTTTTTTGCGTTCTAGATTCCACTCTAGTGAAGCCTACAGATCCCTTCTCAAAACTTTTCTTTGTTGCCCACAAGGGAAGGAAACAGCTAACTTTCAGTTGGACCTTAGTGAAACTAAACACGTAATTTTTTTTCCCATCCAAGTTCATGGACCCCTTGAAATCTGCCCATGAACCCCAGGTTAAGGACTCTTGGACTAGTACTATCTAACCCTAATTCTTTGCGTGCTGAGCTAGAACCAGGAAGTCTAGCACCTGGGCAAATTTAGCATGGGGGGAGGAGAAGGGGCACAGTCTGAGGTAATAGCCAAAGGGTAATTATGATAAGGCTGGAAGGTCCAGGCACACTTGACCCCAACGAAGGTCCCTGAGCCTGGAGGCTCCAGGCTTCTCAAATCCCCTGGAGCAGTTTGGGGACAAAGGAGAAAATGGCAGAGCAGGAATCAGTAAGAAGGGAAAAGAGTCCTTGGGGAGGAGGGGAGAAGCCTGGCACTTGGGTGGAGGCAGACCCTCTGCTGGGATACCATAAGCCTCATAGAGCTGTAAGCAAGAGAAAGAAGTTCCATCACTTCAGAGTCCCATCTGGGCCCCCCCCCCCCGGCCACCTTATGGGTTGGTTCACACAGTCAGGATCCCAGAATGTGCCACAGGGGTGGCAGGGAAGTCCATGGGCACCCACACCTGAACAAGATTCCTCTCTTCTTCACCCCTGGCAAGTAGTGATCCATCCTCTGCCTGAAGACCTCTGGGAGGTGGACCCCATGTACAGTGGGAAAAACCTTGAGTCAGAAGACTTGGGTTCAAATCCCCCCCTCTGATGGCCAAGTCTCTCAAGTACCTCGGGCCTCATTGTCCTCTGTAACACGCAGGAGTTTGCCTCAGTGACCCTTCCAGCTCAGCCTTCTGACCCGGGCAGCCCATTTCCTTCGGGAGAGAAGGTTAGAAAGCTTTTTTTTTTTTTTTGCCTATTCATAATTCTACCCCTGGGGCCAAAAGGAGCCCTCCTAACTCCCTTCAGCCAGATGCCACTTCTCCCCGCTGTTACCCATTCCTAAGGCCTTGGGTCTCCTGCCTGGACATTCCTAGCTCTTGCAAGCCAACTGGGAAGATGGAGTAAATTGGGCAAAACGAGCCAACACACATTCCTTAAGCACCTTCTTTTGCTCAGCCTGGCTGAGGGTGGCCTGTTCATCGCCCAGCCTGCTCCCAGACACCTCGCACCTCCCAAGGAGATGACAGATTGGTGGGAGCAGGGCTGGGATGCAAGCAGCTCTGAAATGGAGGAGGAGATAAGTGTGGCCAAGGGGTCAGAGGAAGGCGAAACCTCGGGCTGGCATTTCTGGCATGGGGGCTGGCGAGGGCAAAAGCCCAGAGATGGGGGAGGGCAGGAAGAGATGGGAAGGAAGCAGCTGATCGGGACGGCTTCTGGAGGGGCTGCCAGAGCTTCATGTGGCCCTGGGGATGAAGCCTGGACCCTGCCTCAAAGCTCACCTTTGGTGTTTCCTGGCTGTGGAATCAGTTAGCCTCCTGGGGATCAGTGTCAGGGGTGAGATGTCAGGGCGAGCATCGGCACCTTGGAAACCAACCACCTCATAAGTTGGGACTGGGTTGATTGTTAGGTGGATTGTCTAGACTTAAGAAGGTGTGAATTCGGATTAAATTTAGAGTGTGTCCTGCTTGCACTTTTTTTTCCGTTGGAGAGCTGGTTGTTAAACATTTGCCTGTACAGCCTTATTAGTTATGCTTTCTATAAAATTATTTTATATAATTTCTATAAAATAAAATTCTTAAACTCTAGTCATCTTTTTTGATTATTACTCAAATCTTTGAGAGGTTTGATGCTGTATTATCTTCACATTTAGCTCACAGAATCCAGACTTGGCAGGCGCCTGGGGGGCCATCTGTTCCTTCAAACCAATGCCTGAACAGACGGTCCCTAAATGATTTCATATAAGTGGCCATCCCTGAAAGCCCATTGCAAACCTTCAGGCCAGCCTAAATGTTGGTGTGTTGGTATGATGATCATACTGTCTTTGCTTGAAGACCTCTTGTGACAGGAAGCTCACTGCCTCATGAGCCTGTTCCACTTAGTTTCTAGGACGTTCTTCCTTTGATTCAGGTGGAATCTCCTCTTTTGGGGGGGAGGGGTGTGTGGGGGTGGGAAGGATGGAGAGCACCTTTCTATTTTGTTGTGGAGTGGAAAGAACAGCTGTTTTGGAGACAGAGGACCTAATTGAGAGCGGTCTTGTAGATCGGGAGCTCCTTGAGGGCAGGTACTGGCTTCTGGGGTCCAGTGGAAGAAATTTGATTGACTCCAGAATTCATTGTTGTCAGACCTGTCTCACTCTCCATGACCCCATCTGGAGCGGCTTGCCATTTCCTTCTCCAGCTCAGGAAATTGAGGCAAACATGGGCAAGTCACCCAGCTAGCAAGTGTCCGAAGTCAGATTTGAGCTCATGAAGATGAACCTTCCTGATTGCTGTCAGGCTATCCACTGCTCCATCTGCTGCCCCCAGGATGGTTGGGAGCACTGCCTCATCCACAGGTAGGAAGCTAGGAAGTGGAAGACTCAGGACTGGAACCCGGGTCTCTCGGCTCCCAGCCCCGGACTCCGCCCCGCTGCACTACAGTCGCCTCCTCGGCAGATAAAGATTTGTGCTGCCCTAGGTTTGTGGTGCGCCTTCCCTGCGGCTGTCCTTAAATGCTGTGGGAAGACGCCCTCAGGAGGCTTCATGCTGCCCCAGCCTCCACCTTTCAGTGTTTCTGGCACACTCTGGTGCATTCCCACCCTTCGCGCGGAGAGCGAGGGTCTGCAGAGCCACTTCGCCTTTATTTTCATGCCTTGCTTCAACACCATCCTCATTCCTGCCAAACTGGTCTGGGTGACTCCCCTGCGGGCAGCCCCACTGACAGCAGCTTTAATGATACAGCTGTCAAGGAGCCCGAGCCTCCCAGTTGCAATCGTGTCCCTGCAAGCAGCCGAGCCCCAGGGCTGCGTGGCTATTACCACAGAACTGCGCAGAGATACTTTGTGATTGGCCAAGAGGCAGACACAGTCGGTAGTGAATTAATTACTGGGTCTGGAGAGGCTCGTTTCCTGGAGATGTTAAAGGGCAGGGCATCATCTTGCCAGCCTTGAGCTGAGTGTCTCTCCCTCATATTTTTAAGCCTGGGACATGATTTTCCTCTAAGAAAGGAAGAGATCCGAGACAGACAGATGGGATGAAAAGGAGCTCAGACTATTAAGAACAAAGGGACCTGTCAATGACCAGCCCAGATTTGGAGTCAGCTCACCATGCTTCCGGGTTCTGGCTCTGCTGCTTACTACCTGTGTGACTTCTGGCGAATCCCTTCCTTTCTGTGGGCCTCAGTTTTCTCATCCAGCCAGTGGGAGGGTGGATCAGAGCATCCCTTTCAGTTCTAAACTCTAATATGCTCTTTCACATGTTCTATGAAATACACTGTTTCATAAATTCCCAGAAGTTATATCCCCCACTGATGATGTACAACACACAACAGGCTGCAGCCTTGCTATCCTTGCTGTTGGATGTTAGAGAAGAATGAGAAAAGTGTTTATTTTAGAGAAATCCATCTATTGCCAACTCTGTTAATATAGTCTCCTTATTTTTTTTTTAAAGTGAGGGAATGCAAGACTTTTTTTCAATTCCAGAGCTGACAGCCATGAGCTATGTAGGTTTAGCTCTATAAACATAAGCCCCTCCTCCCACCTGGAGGGACAGTCAAGCCTAAGCGATATTGACCTGTCTGGAAAGGAGAGGGTGACTCAGAAGTGCCCTGTGAGACACTGGCCTCTGAGGCCAACAAGGAGCAGAAGTCACAAAGGCTCGAGACTGGCAGCAGCACAATGGATTTCCCCACACTGGAAGTCTTCAGAGCCTGGAGAACCACTTTTTGAGGGTATTGTAGAGTTCTTGGTCAGATGTGGGTTGGAATAAATTGCCAGGAGAGGCAGCTAGGTGGCACAGGGGATAGAGCTCTAGCCTTGGAGTCAGGAGGA